ATAAAATATTGTATGCTAATATGTTATAAATAAATGGAATTATAATGATTCATATCTAAACCTGTTGATTTATGCCTATAATCAAGCAGCCTATAGGCATGACCGTCAGTGATAATTACCACTAGAGAAGAGAAGCAGTCTTGGAGCATGACAAGTTACAGTTACAGGGATGTGATCACCGTATGTAGGAAGGATATCATGGTTTTCCATGTGCGCATCAACTTGTCTCACCCTGTGTAGATGAGCACTGCCACGCAGAAATCCCGCTGACTATTCTAGAATAATGGATATGGGATCCACTGTCATAATATTACATGTACTAGTGAGAAAGCATAGTGGTCACTGAGTCTACATAATGAAACAAAGCTTGCGACAAATCAGTTTTTTTTCATTAGCGCGCACCACATTTCATATTTTGAAAACGTAAGTCATATGTAGTGCTATATATGCTGTAAGGAATCTTGAATTTTAAAGGAAATCGCAATCCATGTCATTGCTCTTAATTTTTCTTTCTTATTGTATGCTTGATCACAGGATCATAAATGAGGGAATATTATGGCTTGCTTTACCATACATGTAGTTAATTTATTGTTAACATTGCCTCGTGAAGCATAATTACAAAACAATGGTTATCCATATGTATTTAAAAGAATGTGAATGCTTTCCGAACAGGATTGAAATTACCTACACTGAAAATTTCGATGATGAACAAAGAATAAATGACATAGCTAAACCTGAGACAAAGGCTGAATTATTGCTGATCTAATTTGGTTTTTACAGACAAGCACAATGGATAATAATTTTATAGAGAAAAATTTAGAAATTAATTAATTATGTATATTAAATTGTACACAAGAAGAAACATACAGAACATAATATTCACTACAAATTAAATACAACAAAATTTATTTTAATTTACATAAAGAAAATTTTCATTTGGTGTCTCGCAGCGAAATGTGCTGTTGAACTGTCCACTCGCCTCATCCCTTTTGGAGACATCTGTTGTGTAATCAAAGAGAAGATCCGAAAAAAAAAATGGCAGCAACTTTGGGATGTTCAGCTTCAAAATAAGTTAAGACATGTAAAGCCTAGAATTGAGCATTGGGAATTAACTAGAAACTGTAAGGAGGAAGTTCTTTTGACAGAATTGGTCACACTAGAGTGACACATAACTATCTTTTAAAAGCTGAGAGTGAGCCTGTTTGTTCAAATTGTAATGTTTGTTTGTCTGTTCGTCATATTTTAATTGAGTGTTCCTGTTTTAACAGTCTTCGTCAGAAATATTTTAAATAGCTGTAACTTACCTCTCGACCGTTTAATCGGAAGAGAGGTCAATTGTAATTTATTTTATTATCTAAAAGACACTGGGTTTTATTACTTAATGTAATCTGTTCAGCAGATTTTGTATTATATTTTAATGTGTGCTTTTACCAGGTTTTTTTTAAATGACTTCATCCTCTGGATATGGTACATGTAGTTTTTTAAAAAAATTTTATTAATAAGTATTTCATTTAATTAAATTAGGTCATCCCACCATTTGTTGGCGCATCATAATCATCATTGGTTTTTGCGCCAAAAACTCACTCACTCACTCACTCATTTGGTGTCACTTCTGTTACTTCGTGACATCGGCTAATTTATTACAGCTTGGAATTAAGGGTAATATTCTCGACAATAAACCGTTATGAAGATGATTATATCTCAGTCGAAATCTATACTCCACACAACACATTCACACAACATTCATCGTAGAAAATAATTATTCCCATAAATAAGTGGAACTAAATTACTAGCTTATACACCTTTCTTACAAAAAAATATTTCTTTATCATCAGAATTTCAAATATTATGTAGTATTATAACTTAATGTAGAGTTTCAAAATCTCCAACTTTAATTCTTAATATGGTTTCAGAAAGTTTTGCAAGAGATTCACTTGCCATTCTCTTAAGTACTTCATTTAAATGCTTACTGTTAATTATTATTAAAAGGCAATCTTATTAATCATGAGTCCACGCATAATGATTTGGATGCAACACAGAGCAAATAGATTTAGCTGACAATATTGCACCCTCGAGCTCTGGTTTGAAGATAAATGTTTTACTAAATTTAAGGATTAACTGCTTTAAGTTTCACTTAATTTTTTTTTTTTAAATTCAGTGAAACTGGAAGTAGTAACCGTGATGGATACAATAAAAAGCCATTTCTTCTTTTTAATAAAAGATTACTTAAAATGACCTCTAAGTGCATTAAATATGCGTGTCTTGCATGTACATTTCATTTAAAATACTTTACGAAATCAAAGAAGAAATTTTTCGAAAGAAAGTACGATAGGATAAAAAAATATGTAATGTGTTTAAAAAATATCTGACAAAACTATAAAGGCAGGTAAAGGGAACCCTCCTAAATGATTCCCTCTGATTTCAGGATTCAGCTGTGCATGACACTGAAAGCACTGGAACTGCGGTAATCTCAAATCACTTTAATGTCAGCAGAGCTGCTGATAAATCTACAAGAATTTTTATAGCAAATTGGCTACTGTTCCTTTTCTGAGGCTATTGGAAAGAAGGAAGTCAAATGTGGTTATCTTCGCTGATTTTCATATTACTATTAATGTATATTCTACTGTAAACGTTAAAGATAAAAAAATATTTTTATGTATTCCAGATTGTTCTTGACTAATTTTTGTTAAAGAGGACAATGCATTACTTTAAAATGGACTGACAACAAAGTTATTGCGACATTCTTGGAGATGACTTATGGATGGCTTGGCCAAGAATGGTTCTGATTTACCTAAACCACATTTTCTTGTTAAAATTTCTACTGTCAATAGATTCCCATCGCGACTGCTGACTGTTTGTACGTCGATGGTGCTAGTTATGGCGCAAATAAATGTGATGCCTTCACATTGGGATAACCTCCGTTTATACGTAAGCCTAGCCAAGCTAGGCATGGACCATGCTGATACTGACAAGTTCGATTGCGACTGTGCTATATGTATTTAGATTGTTCTTTTGAGTGTGTGCTTTACATTTTTGGTTCATGCTTGGAGGGAGACCTTTTTGTATGTGCTGACAATACTGGGTATGTATTGAATTTAACCGTCCTTTGTTCGATATAATGGTTGCTCCTCGCTTAGGTTCGAATCCTGAAGAAGTCGTGGCTGTTTGCAAGTGTATAGAGTTTGTACGGTACGAGAGACACTGAAATTATTTAGTAAGTTGAAAGTATTCTCGTGTAGTTTGGTGGTAGAGGAGTTGTGATAGAGTTGTCGGAGATCTTGAAGCCTTCTTCGGTGGGTATTTCGTCGAAATTGGGGTGGAACGTAACAGCTAATGCGGTAGGACTACACCTGAACGATCTATAATGAATTTCCTGTGTCCCGCCTTTTTATACCTATGCCTATCAATAGATTTATTAAATTCATAATCAGTCTATACCGTCAAATCTTCTTTAATGAAAGGGCTGGGGAGGAATCCTGGGACGCCTTATTGAACTCTCCAGTTTCTTTAACTCTCTAGAGCTATAGGTGTATTATAGTTTCTTCTCAGAACTAGGCACGACTGTTCAAAAATATATTTCCATCGTATGGGACTTGAAAAACTCAGGGGACGATATTTAGCATAGCTGACACAAACAAACCACCTCTATGATGGTTTATCTCGCCGCATTTTATCCTAATGATGTTTCAAATAGTAGTTCTGCAGAAGGTACAGATCATTATTCCGCGTGCGAATTTCAAGCGATGTCCATCACTACATTGAACGCAGAACTCACGATATGCACTTTGTCTATGGGACTGAGGAGGAAACGGAGCAGCTGCTCAAAGAAACAATTAGGGAATCGTTCTCTGTATTTCCTTTGAATAACTGCTTCATTTTATTCGCGCTGTTACAGATAAAAGCATATCGCTGATTTCTGCTTTTGTATAGCAATACACACTGATCAAAATTACACGGGAAAAGAAAAGCGCTAGCAGAATTCGCTTACCTCTACCCCTTTACATTTTTATTAGATATTTTAAAATCCCCCTGCATTTTTAATATCTATGACAAAGTTAGTCTTCTTCGAATGTAATTAGACCACTCCCGTGAGCATATTTCACAGGTGACAGGTGACGGAGGACGGGGACTCCTGGTGTTTAACAGAGGTAAACAGGCATATGTCCCGCGCACCTCCCCTATCAACCAGGGGTTTATTGAGATCTTAAAAGATTTATTACATTGCCATACAGGGGCAGATGAGAGATACATTAGCTATTTATGTTGCATTACAGATTTTAGGTTTGCAAGGTATACATTAGATTACATACTGGTTACACATTAAAAAAAAACATTAACATAACACATGCATGACATGACACATAAATACTATTAATAAAATAGGTACATGCGCTTAGCAGAAGGAAGATATTGTATTTCCTTAGATGCAGAGGAGTACTTACATTCACTTAAGACCCTGAATTAGCGGGGTTGGCATAAGTCTTGCCCCAGGGCGGTTGTCTGGCTGATTATTCTGCAGATGGTATTCACTGTGCCTTTGTTCTTAACGATGAATCGTTTGAAGGCTATTTGGTTCTCCGCTGGCAAGTGGAGGTGATTATCCTCCGTGAGCGGGCATTCAAAGATGTAATGGTCTGGAGTTCCGAGCGACCCACAGAAGCACAAGCCTGTATGAGAGATACCGAATCGCTCAAAATAGCTGGGAAAGGGCCCGTGCCCTCGAGATGTAATTAGTGATGGGAGGGAGGTATCGAGTATTGGCGCTCCATTTTCACTCTAGGCAGAAAATAAATTGGTTCTTGCGACCCGTATCACAGGTCTCCCATTCAGCTTGCCACTTCTGCAGAGCCTTTTTTCCTTGAGAGTTCTCTTGAGATACGACGAGGGTGGCGCTGGAATAGTTACCATCTGTGCAGCTATGTTGCTTGCTGCCTCCTTTGCCAGTTGGTCAGCTGTCTCATTACCCTCGTTGTTAACGAGTGCCTTAGTCCATATTAGATTTAAATTAGTTGAGGGTGTGATTGTAGGATATTCTCGAGGTCCGCTACCAATGGGGAGGTGTGGTTATGGTTGACTAGGGCGAATAGCGTTGACATGCTATCTGTAAACAGCATTGCATCGGTGATCCTGCTGTCAATTGCATGCTGAATCGCAGTGGTAATGGCTATGACTTCAGTCTGGAATGTACTGTTTATCGGTTGAAGATGCCCCTTCCACTCGATTTCCTTGCATCCTCCGTGGTACAGGACGAAGGCACTACCTGTACCCTCGTCGAGCTTGGATCCATCTGTATAGTACTGCATGGGGTACCGTGGATCCTGTATTGTAATTTGCTCGCCACTTCTGCTGACGTGAATCCTTATATATATTCCCTTGTGCGCAGGGTGCGTCTCCAGGGGATTCCTTGGATGCTCATACTGAACTGGACTATAAGTGTTTCCGCAGAAGGTAGCTTCCTTCTTTAAATGGATAACAGTAGCGTAAGCAGCTTCAGTCTCCGCGCGTATGTGCAGTGGCGTTAGACCAGATAATACCACTGCTGCACTAGTGGCCGTTGTTCTGTAGGCTTTACACAAGAGTAAGGCGTAAGGTCGTTGTATAATTCCCAGCTGTTTGACTTTTCTACCACTCATCGGATTGGCCCCTATTGCTGAAGGGTAAAGGGCTATTTTCTCCCCATCAATCTCTACAGCGTCCTCTGCCACTACCTGCAGGACAGAAGTCTACTAATAACTCATAACAACGGAGTTACTACTAAACACCAAGAAAGGGGCTGCCCGCAAGGCTCGTGTGCGGGACCGATTCTTTGGACGATTACTTTCAACGCCATCTTGGAGGCCACATGGCCGAGACATACGTCCATTGTCGCCTATGCTGACGATGCCGCATTATTAGTACAAGGAAGAACTCGCGAGGAGCTTAAGAAGAATGGCACCGAGTCTTGTGTACTCTTTTCAGAACTCTGCGGCAAACTTCAACTATCTACTGAAAAGTCCTGTGCCCTGATCATACCGAAGCAAAGAGCCAACCTGAGACGCAAACCATGCATCAAGTTAATGCAGAGGAACATTAAAATCAATAACACCTTGAAGTACCTTGTCCATCTGTGGGACAACAAATTAACATGGATCCCCACCTCCAAATTATTAAAGAGCGAACTTCCGGAATAGCAAGAAAAGCCCGCCTATTTCAGGGGTGAAACTGGGGTCAAAACTCCCACATACAGAAAATTCTTTATCTCACAATCTCAGAGAAAATAGCATATTTCACAAGTGTACATCAGCGTAGCCACTGAGGGAGGGGTTTTGAAAATGGACCAATGAGCTTCTATTGCTTTTGTGACGCTAAATCTTCGAGCCTGTGAGCGTATGTTTGTCTACGTTTTAATTTGCATTTGTTTCGCAGTTATGATGTGTGGCGTAATAGTAGAAACTCTCGTAGTGCTTTCATTTTATGAGTTTAATTAATCGCTGACATTTCACTTTCGCGATTCTTATCACGCATTAATATTTGGATTGATGTTCACGGCATATTATCATCGCTCTTTACGTCGAGAAAATGATTCAAGTACAATTAGCCTCGAATATTATGCATTTACTAAAACCTGTGGATTAAGAGAATTCAAGTGTATAATTTTTTAAAATTCTGCTGAGAAAGACTGGAAGTGTTACAATGAATCTAGTGTTTTTTCATTTCAGTGCTTGTATTCTTTTGATTTTTAAAGTGTAAGATTAAGAATAATATTGCGTATGATCTGATTATATCACATTTATTAACAGTAAAAGTTAATACGTGAATAAACTGAATATATTCGTTGGGAATAAAGATAAATTCATTCAGTTTGATGAGCATTTCTTGTGTAGACAGAACATGTAAGAGTGAGCAGTTATTAAATGTGAAATTTAACACACTAAATATATATGAATCCCAAATAGTAAAGTTCACTTTGAATAAAATTCTGCGTTGGTTATCATAACATCTTTTTCATTATAGACTGCAATAAAAGTTATTGACTTCTATTTACATAGATAATTGGTATAAATATTTTCTCATATGCATAGTTTTACGTAAAGATAGCATTTGGGCTCAGATGTTATCACATATATCTTTTTCATCTTATTTACCACTTATTAAGTAATATTTCACAGGGATATTTTTGCGGAGTATCCAATATTTGTTTGTATTTATTTGAAATTATTTCAACCAGGTAGTGAAATCTTCACAGTTGCTTATATTTGATCAATTTTACAATGAAACGATTCAGAAGAAATCGACAATGCTTTAATTATTTTGGAAAGAAAATTGCGTGGCAGAATATTTTCAACCATCTTGCTTAAATCTTATAGCACGCGAAAGGTCATGTGACATGACAGAAATATTACTGGATGCCTACTGGTCCATCCTAGAAACCACTCCCTCGGTGGCTACACAGATGTGCATTTGTGAAATATGCCTTCCGTGAAACGTTTTTGTTGTACTGCAGTAGTCAATTATAAAATGTGACGAAATATTCTTCAGTCAGAAACAAAGTAACAAAAACTGTTTTATCTTTTAAAAGTGAGTAGAATTTTTTTTTTTAATGATTTGATTATCTCGGGATTCCTTTGAAATTTTTCAAGATCTATCACTTATTATGCAGCCTATCGTAGTTATTTTTCAAAGCAAAACAAGCAGAAACAGAAATGAAGCAATTCTGATAAAGATTAGTTAAATAGAAATGAAAATTTTCATTTATTTAAGGAACTTTAAAAGGACACTCGCAGCGACACTGCAAATGAAATTATAGATGCATGTAAACAAAAGTCTGTTCAGAAAGGTTAGCTGAACTTATCGAAAAGCATGTAAATACATTTACGAAACTTCAGATTTAAAAATATACTTTCTTCGAGGATGAAATTTAAAATAAATCCGGAACAAAAGGAGGAATTAAGAACAGTTTCTGGGAAACTCTATTTTATATAAAAATTCTTAAACTTTTGTAACATTCTTTCTGTAACAAACATATCACTTTAATGCTAGAAGCCTTAACAAGCCCGAGATACAAGAGAATCATCTCATGTTAAAAGTAAACAATAGAATGAATCTAAAGTGTACACAAATATAATTAAAACTTGCAAGATTCTCTTTGTTCAGTAGATAGGGTATCTGTTATATTTCAATAAATGAATGCTGAAACTTAGATAATGATACCAAAAAAGAAATAAATTAAATCGATTTTAAGGAATAAATAAAGACAAAACTTTGCGACTGTTTATTTTTATAAAATTGATTTTATTGCTATGTTTTTGTCTTTATCATAATAGCATCAACTTTATTGCTTCTTGGTGTGACAAATGCTATTATTGTTCTATTTTTTTCTATTTCGTAGTTTTGCAAATTCACTTTCCGTATAGTTAAAATATCTTCTTTTCAATGAAATGATTATATTTGTTTTCATAAATAATACTTTTTTGAAATATTAGTCAGTTAAAATGAGAAGGAGATTTCAGTCTAATTCTCCAAATATAAGTTGAGGAATAACGTCAGGATATTAAGGTTGTGTTCACTTCAATTCATAAAATACTTTTGCGAGTAAAATAATATGTGTTACATCATTTCCTCTTTATGTTAATGTTACTTGCCGAAGAGATCAGGGCATAAATGGTTTAGGCATATTATTCCAGAACAGTTAGAAATATCTACATTCTTCACAGAAACTGACTCCTGTTTACAACCTGGTTGGTTGGTTAACCGATTAAAGCAAAATACTCGAGGAATACCTGCTTAAAAAGAAAGGGATACCTGTGTGGAGAACTAAGTAAGATAAACTGGCTATTATTCATGCTTCTAAAAACATGAGGATATCCATAGAGCCAGACTATTCACGTGAATCCGAATCCGAATCGAATTCTACTGTTGAGCGATTTTACCCACTCAAACATTTATGCTTAATCACTTTAGATTTAGGACTTCGGACTTGAGTATTTCGCCTGCCTCTAGAATTGTAGATCTCAGCAACAAACACATATTCTCTTTATGAAAAAAAAAAAAAAAAGACATGAATTTTCATATATGCAGACGAGTGTTTCCTTATAGTCAATGCAATCTCATAGAAAGAATTTCAGGAAAGTCGTAAAGTATTTTCACTACCAGCTCCAAAATTTGAATGCTCAGGTTTATTAAAAGTACATTAAAGTTCGGACAAGTATTACTGACCGAAAGGAAAGTCTTATTTGTATGGAATAGAACGTTTTAATTGTGTTATAAATTGTTTTATAGTATTAAATGAAAAAATGCACTCACTCATATAAAGTATAAAGAAATGATGTAGCAGGTAACAACCAATTAAGAAAAAATACCGAGAAAGGGCTTCTTTTAATTATTACATTCTGCGATTTCTTCAGTGTATCTGGATAATCTGAGGAAAATATTGTCTATATCTGAAAACTAGCTTTCAAGTATAGGTGCTGAAGCATTAAGCATTTTGTGTACATTTGAGAATGTGTCCAAAGGTAACCTACGAAAGTCTGAAATGAAGTGATGACAATAACAACTCATTCAAAAGTCATCTGATATTAATTATGTTTCCAGTTCAACAGTAAAAAGGAACAAACGAATTTAAACTAACGCGTACTTCAACAAGTTCTTTGCGTTAACAACACTTCTTCAAAAGGCGCAACAAAGACAAGGTGATGTAGGACGTAAGCTGACGCCAAGTGTATGCTGATCTTTAATCGGAGGTATGTATAGAAACATCGTAAGTGCTGTAACCTCCCAAAAGTTCCATTTTCCTTCCTACTCTTACAAATTTCTTGCCCAGGAGTAAAAAACCGAAAAACACCCTTTGCTTTTAAATAATTACCGCAATTACCTAATTTTACACATAAAGTAAAGGATAGCGAATTTTCAAGTGGGAAGGAGTTTATTTCTCCCGCCTTTTTAGCATGCCTTCGTTATGTAAAAGTCAGCACACTCGGCACGTATTCGAGAGATCTGAGGTTCGAGTCCCGGCGATAGTATTGCTTATTTTTCGTGCTTCCTACTTCAAAAAACCTAATAAATCTAAAGTGGCGCCTGAGCTAAAATGCGGTGTATGATTCACCACCAGGATCTGGCGAATGGGTCCCCTAATCCCCAGTCGCCCTTTAAAAGGGAGCGTATATAAAATATTTCTCCGCCTTCCTAGCATGCCTTCGTGGTGTAGTGGTCAGCACACTCGGTACGTATTCGAGAGGTCCGATATTCGAGTCCCGGAGAGGGCATTGCTCATTTTTCATTACTCCTGCTTTTAAATACCTTAATGTCTCTACTGTGGAAACTGAACTAAAAAAGGTGGTGGATGATGATTCTTTAGCACCAGGATTTGGCGAATGGGTCGCCTAATCTCCAATCACCCTTTAAAAGGGAGAGTATATAAGGTATTTCTCCCGCCTTCTTAGCATGCCTTTGTCGTGTAATGGTCAGCACACTCGGAGCGTATTCGAGAGGTCCTATGTTCGAGTCTCGGCGAGTACATTGCTCATTTTTCACATCTCCTGCTTCTAAATAATCTAATGTCTCTAAAAGTTCAAAAAGGCAATTCTGAATGTAATGAAGATTATTCAGTCAATGGGTACAGAAAATACTTTTAAGAGCTTTGGCTGACCTCTGTTGT